ATAGAATAAAAGGGTTCCGTGGCCCAGGGGGGCTACCCTGGGAAGCGTGGACAGGGGGGGGGGCGAGGAGGACGAACGACACGACGAACGACGAAAATAAAGGGTTCCGTGGCCCAGGGGGGCTACCCTGGGAAGCGTGGACAGGGGGGGGGGCGAGGGGTACCCTGGGAAGCGTGGACAGGGGGGGGGGCGAGGGGGACGGGGGGGGCGAGAGGGACGAACGACACGACGAACGACGAAAATAAAGGGTTCCGTGGCCCAGGGGGGCTACCCTGGGAAGCGTGGACAGGGGGGGGGCGAGGGGGACGAACGACACGACGAACGACGAAAATAAAGGGTTCCGTGGCCCAGGGGGGCTACCCTGGGTAAGCGGGACAGGGGGGGGGGTGCGAGGCGCGAGGGTTACCCTGGGAAAGCGTGGACCAGGGGGGGGCGAGGGGGCGGACGGGGGGCGGGGGGGACGAACGACACGACGAACGACGAAAATAATGGTTCCGTGGCCCGGGGGGCTACCCTGGGAAAGCGTGGACAGGGGAGGGGGGGGGGGCGAGGGGTACCCTGGGAAGCGTGGACAGGGGGGGGGCAAGGGGGACGGGGGGGGGGCGAGGCGGACGAACGACACGACGAACAACAAAAATAAAAGGTTCCGTGGCCCAGGGGGGCTACCATGGGAAGCGTGGACAGGGGGGGGGCGAGGGGGACGAACGACACGACGAACGACGAAAATAAAGATGTCCGAGCTCTAGAGCACAGCTGTGCAAGAGAATAATTATTGTTGATCCCCCTCTCCGGTGCATATGGTTTTTTCCAAATCAAAGTGTGCCCCTCGACGCTCGCACCCTGTTTTTTGTCAGGCAAAATCTTGATGCTCAAACTGCGCCCGTGGCCCACGGGTTACAACAACAACGGCTCCCGCCTGAGACCTCCTTGCAATTTAGCCAGGACCCCCGCTCCCGCCTGAGACTTCCTCGCATTTTATTGAAGAATCGCGCTCTCGTTTGGGACTTCCTTACAATTTATACAAGAATCGCTCTCCCGGCGCTCTGGAGTCGCGCTCTCGCTGGAGACTTGCTTGCAGTTTACTGACGAATGGCGCCCTTGCGTTGGATCTTCTTGCAATTTACTCAAGCGCCGCGCTCCCGACACCCACGCGCCCAGGAGTCGCGCTCACGCTTAGGACTCCCTCACGGATTACCTAGGAATCCGGATCTCGCTGCCCTTCGTGGCAGCCCTTCGTGGCCCCCTCGCTGCCCTTCGTGGCCCCGTTGCAGCCCTGCGTGGCCTCGTTGCAGCCCTTCGTGGCCCCCTCGCTCCCCTTCGTGGCCCCGTTGCAGCCCTTCGTGGCCCCTTCGATGCCCTTCGAAACCCCATATATGTATACCCTTCGTGGCCCCCGCTCGTTCGCGCCCAGGGTGGCCCCATATGCATGCCCTTCGTGGCCCCGCTGTCGCCCTTTCGTGGCCCCCTCGCTGCCCTTCGTGGCCCCGTTGCTGCCCTCAGTGGCCCCGTCCTTGCCCTCCGCGGCCCAACATACGTATGCCCTTCGTGGCCCCCGCTCGTTCGCGCCCGTTGTGGCCCCACATGCATGCCCTTCGTGGCCCCGCTGTCGCCGTTTGTGGCCCCCTCACTGTCCTACATGGCCCCGTTGCTGCCCACAGTGGCCCCATCGTTGCCTTCTGTGGCCCCGCATTATCTGCCCTTCGTGGCCCCTGCTCGTTCGCGCTCTTCGTGGCCCCATACGCATTCCCTTCGTGTCCCCGCTGTCGCCCTTCGTGGCCTACTTCGTGTCCTTCGTGGCCCTGCTGTCGTTCTCTCTCGCTCTCGCTTTCGCTCGTCGTCGTCGTCGCCGTCGTCGTCGTCGTCGTTGTCGCCGTTTTCGTCGACGTCGACGTCGTCGTCGTCGTCGTCGTCGTCGTGGTCGGTCCCCTGTCCGTCCGTCTTGGGGTCGGGTCGACGGTCCGCGGCCGCCCCGCCGATCAGCGCTGCCGCTGGCCAGGCCGACGGTCCGCGGCCGCCCCGCCGCTTGCTGGGGCCCGGCCTGCAGGGAAGAACGGTATACCCCCCAAAAATGGTTCGATCGAAGACGAAGAGGGCGGGCATCGAGGGTTTGGGAAATACACGTTGCATGACACTCGAGCAGATAAGGACGAACAGTCTTAAAATGATTGTTGTTGTTGGTGTTTATTGTTGTCCTCGTCGTCCACCCCGCGACACGGCCCTGGGCCCTCTCACGAACCGCCGTGGACCCACCCGCGACCCACCCGCGACCCAGCCGCGACCGTCTCGCGATCCACCCGTGACCACCCCGCGATCCACCCGCGGCCCACCCCACGACCAACCCGCGACCCACCTCGCGCCCGCCCGTTCACTCTTATCAACAACTGCGGGATGCTACATCTAGTACATAGCACGCGTTGCGTGTAGCTTGCGGCGCGTAAGTTGCATCACGCACCTTGCACAACGTACGCTGCATCCGCCAGATTACGCCACATTTCCACATAGACACCAACATGTCACACTTGTACGCCGCAGCCCGGCAAAAGGCACTCCGCACGCGCGCTTGGGCGGTCCGAACAACGGAAGGCACAACTTAACCGGCGGCAGGAGGGGAAAACAGGCGATAGCCGCCGCGAGGAAAGAGGGAGGGAGGGGAAGGCACTCACATGGCGAGGTGAGTCGCCGTGGAGCGGCCACGGCGGCCAGCCAATGCTGCACCCCTGGCAGCGAGCGCGGGGCGGCGTCACGGCCACACCCAGGGGCTGGGGCAAGGGCTGCTGTGCACGGGGTGGAGAAGCAGAGTACTGAGACACAGAACGAATGGCCATGTCGACGACGTCCCGGCCCATCGGGGAGCCAAGAGGTGGCTGGACCCCAGGCGGCAAAATGCAGCGGGGATGGAGTGGGCGGGTAGTGCTGAAGTGACTGGAGCTTGCTGCAGGAGGGGGCGGGCAGTGCTGCTCCTGGAGCTTGCGCAGGCGGGTGCGGAGGGGGGACTGATCCCACAACTAACCAGCCACTGAGGTAGCGGTGCAGCAGGTGGCGGGCCATGCGTCACACATTCACAATGCAAGGGCCCACTGTCTAGGGGGTGCGCACATGTGCACATTTTCACTGATCAGAGAGAGGGGGCCGAACGGTCATTGACTGTCCCTGGGCGTGTGGCTGACGTGGGGTTCCGCAGTGCGGCCTGTGGTTGCATTGTTGTTGCTGTTGCTGCTGCTGCTGTTGTTGTTGCTGTTGCTGTTGCTGTTGCTGTTGTTGTTGTTGTTGTTGTTGTCGTTGTTGTCGTTGTTGTTGTTGTTGTTGCTGTTGTCGTTGTCGTTGTCGCTGTCGCTGTCGTTGTTGTTGTTGTTGTTGTTGCTGTTGTCGTTGTCGTTGTCGCTGTCGTTGTCGTTGTTGTTGTTGTTGTTGTTGTTGTTGTTGTTGTTGTTGTTGTTAATACTGTCGTCGTCCTGGCCCGCGACCCCCGTGCGACCCACCCGCGACCCGCCTCGCGACCCGCCCGCGACCCGCCCGCGACCCACCCCGCGACCCACCGTGCGATCCGCCCGCGACCCCCGCAACCCACCCCGCGCCCGCCCCCTCACTCTTATCCGCAACTGCGAGGTGCTACGTATTGTTTTGTTGATTGTGTTCGTGCTCTGTTCTCCATTCTTGCCCCACTGCAATCTGCATCGGGCCTCGGCGCTCCTCGCCCCCAGTCAGCATTTTGGCGTATTGTCCGTGGTGGGAGCGGGGGGTGGTGGCGCTCCGCGCTGAAGGTGGTGCTCAACTGCCGACTCTGGCAACCAGACCTGCTGACGTCTCGCTTCGTTTTCGGCCGCGTATCGCTGACGTTCCTCCGTGGATTTCGGCCGCCCTCCACGGACCTTCCTCCGGCGGACCCATCCCCCATTTTACCTCCGCCGCCCTCCGACGAGGGCGACGCGCGCCGCAGGCGAGGCCCCTCCTGGAAAGCACCAAGCAGAACCGGGCTCAGGTAGTCCTCCGGCTGGGCGTATATCGGCATATCATCCTTAATGGGCCCTCACGCTGCCGCCGAGAAGCGGCTCAAGCGGCTTCCTGAGGGGACGCCCCAGAGAGCCCAAACCGGAGAATCGTGTGGGCAACCGACCCACTGCTACCATGGCTGGGTAACCCGCGTGGCTGGGTTCACATGGCAGCACGCACGGCAAGCACACGTGGCTGAATTCACGTGGCAACGCACTGCTACCGCATGGGAAACTGGAGACACACAAGGCTGGATCCACATACGGAGCATGCAGGAACCACTTGCTGGATCCACATGTGAACAATCAGTGCGCATGGCCAAACCAAGTCCACACGTCATTCCAACTCCCGCCAAAACCAAACAAACAATATGTATCCAACTTCCTGGTAGCTGATGGTCGCCCCACGCAGTCTTGATACCCCTGTCGCTGGTCGAGCCTTGTCCCCCGCATCGTCGTCCGCCATTGCGCCGCGCGGCGGTTGCTTCCGTGCGCTGACGCTGACCGCGCTGGCAAGCCGAAGCGGCGTCGCGATGGACGAGGGAGGAAAAGAAAGGGCTCGAATTGCGGGGATTGGAAGCTGTGCGAGAGAACGCGTGGCGGCAATCAGATGCATACTGCGGTTTAAGGCCCAGGGACACACACACACAAATCCCAGGATACCCTATATTTCCGATAATTTTCTAGGTGTTCGTCTACCCCCCACTTCGCATAATTACCCACATTCTCTTGGGGGTCAACGATTCATTGTGTCTGTGTGTGTGTGTGTTCTTTCCCTCCTGACTTTTACTCGTCATGCAGTGTATAGATATGCGTCGACGCTCGGGCCAAACGGCGGCGACCCCTCCTATTTGAGTTGGGATTGCGCGGGCGATCGAACAGCTCCGGCGGATAAGAGAAACCAAACGAAAAAGGGAACCATAACTGTCCAACTACAAGCACATTCTAGATTCTGCAGCGAAAGCGCCGTCGCTGTTTGATTTGACGGGCGCGCGACGCGACGGGGCGCGGACTCGCCCTCTGTAGCGGGTAGCTCGCTTGTGCCCTTCAGAGCGACGCTGGATGAGCTCACGAGCGTGTCCGATGATCGCGTGAGTTTCCTCGCGCCACATTGCGCGTGATGTTGGCGACCTCGGGTCACAGACGTGATGTCTGAAGGCATGTCCAGAGACTTGGGCAAGGTGATGGCCCCTGGGTCACGTGAGTGGCGAGGTGGAGGTATAGTGCCGTTGCATGGTAGGTGGGAGAGAAGGTGGTGGATGGAAATGGACCTTGAGGGATGTGCACGCTCTTTTTGGCACTATCGCCTCGAAGCTCCACCGCGGTCGCGATCCGAGGGGGCCGCTCCGATCGCGACCGCCGTGGGCGACAGGTGGGAGAGAAGGCGGTGGATGGAAATGGACCTTGAGGGATGTGCGCGCTCTTTTTGGCACTATCGCCTCGAAGCTCCACCGCGGTCGCGATCCGAAGGGGCCCCGCTCCGATCGCGGCCGCCGTGGGCGACACTCCTCGCCGGACGCGCCGGGCTCGGCGCTGTCCCCGGGCGAGGGCAGCCGCCGATAGCTCGTCGGCGCTGGCCGCGCAGAGGGCCGCGCCAGCGCTTGACCTTTTCTCCCCATCCCTGTGGGTCTTTGTCTTCTTCTTGTAGGGGGAAAACAAACCTACCTCGCTTTTGACCACCCTCGCTTCCAAGAGATACCAAGCGATGCCAAACTACGGCCTGTACTGGTCAGGCCGCTTGACAAGGAGGCGCGTGGTATGACTTGGTTTTTCCTGGAAGCGAAAGCGGGGTAGGTAATTCACGCTCTGATCTTCTTCTTCTTCTTCTTGGGAAGGTCGGCGGCGTCGTCCGGCGCCGCGGCGCACCCGCGGGGGCCGACGGGCGCCGTGGTCCCCGTCCTCGTCCAGAGCGGGCGCGGGGTCGACGGGCGAGGCGGCGCCGGTCTCCAGCCCGAGCCGTGAGCCGTGCTGGCCTCGTCGCATTCAGCTTCGCGAGAAGATGGCTGGGGCTGATCCTCTGGAGAGAGGTGGCAGGGGGGCGCGCGGCGCGCGCTCGCCTGGAGGTGATGGGGGGCGCGACTCACGCGGCGACAGCGTCGGGCCGTTTGTAGCTGGGCGGCCTGCTCTTGGACGAAGGCGCGCCGAGCCATGCTTCGTCGCGCGCGGCCAGCGGATCCTGACCGAATTCGGGCCACGACCCCGCGTCTGCGAGCGTCCAGCAACGCCTGCTTTCGCCGCGCTGCTGAGGCCCCCACGAAATCCAGAGATGGTAGAGCTTCGTCGTGAACATCGCGGGCGCGATGCTCAGAGGGGCGTTCGCATGCGTCGGCCCCGCGTCGTTTCTCCAGCCCATGGATCTGCGCGCTTCGAACGTGAATCCTGCGCGAAGCTCCTGATCCTTGATGCTGGTGCTGAAGGGGATGCGGCGGAGCACCTGTTGCGAGGGCGGGTCGGCGATGTGCCACTGGCGCGCGAACTGCACAATCTCCTCGTCGCTCTCGGCGAGCCGCTGAGCGTTCTCCGCGAGCGCCGTGGCCGGCACTTCGGGAGGCAGCGGGGCGCTGGGCGGGCTCGGCGCACGCGCGGGCACCTTGCTGGCGGGCATCGGCCGAGAGCGAGACGCGGCAGCCGCGCGGCGTCTGCGCGGAGACGGCGGGCGCGAGCGGGAACGGGGAAGCTCTCGAGCCGGAGCGTGGCCTTGAGATTTTTTTTGGTCGGCGGGTCGAGAGCGGGCCTCTTCCGGTTAAGAGCTAGGCGGGGCGCGCGAAGCACTAATTGGGGAGACAGGGCGCGGGCGGGCGGGTGGCCTTGAGAAACAGACGAAGTAGAAACAACGCGCCTTGCCACGCTGAGCTGCTGCGCCCGGCGTTCCAAGCGACGACCTCGCGATCTGCTCGGCGGAAGCGCCGTCGGAAGCGCGCCGGGCGGGCGGGCTATGACCAGCCGCCCCGTTGGGCCACCGACTCCTGCCCACGTGCCCGGAGGGGGCGTCGGAGATCGAGCGCGTGCCGCGGCTCGACCTGCGCGCGTCGCGGTAAGTGTCGCGTCTTCTGATGGCGCCGCTTCCTCCGCGGGTGACAAGAGGAGACGAGGGCGTGGAACGCGAGCGGCGAGGCGGTGGTCCTCGGGGCTCCGCCGGCTTGCTCGGAGGCGTGCTGGCGCGCGCGCGCGCAGCAGCGGGTGGCCGCCGGCGCTCGGCGACGCGCGTCGGGCGCCCGCTCGCGGGCCCGGCGGCGCGCGAGACGCAGCTGGCAGCTCGGCGCGCTCCGGCGGGGCGGCGCGCGCGCCGGCCGACGAGAAGCATTGCAGCGGCATCGTGCGTGCTCATCCCTGATCCTTCTCTTACTGCCATATCCGACGTGTGCGTGCATCTGCTCGCCCGCGCTCATGCCGCAGCGAATGCCGACCACTGCGACGACGTAGCTCCCAGCGCCGCGTTCTCTCGAACTGCCGCGCTACAACGCGCCCCTCAACCACCGCGTGCCATGTGACAGTCCTTACGAAAGAGATGGGATGAGGCAGGGCCGATGGTTCCGAAGCGACAGGGGCACAACGCAGTTCCTCCAAGCATGATGATGTGTATTATCTGTCCGAGGTCGGCTGGCGCTCGCGCCCTGACGGTGCGGTGAGCTTGCCGGCCGACGCGAGGGTGACTGTGCGCGGTGTGTTTGGCCGCTGACGAGAGCCGCCAGCCTTGTCGTGCAGGGCAGATCTATCTATGCTGCCACTGGTCAGTCCATCCGCGATCACATGCCGGGTGTCTTCCCAGCTCGGAGCCCGAAGTTGGTCCGAGCTCAGGAGGTCGCGGAGCTGGGCGCACGCGGCAGTGACGAGCGCTCTGCCCGAGGCTTAGGTCTCGTAGCTGCGACGGCCGTGATCGCCCCCCTCGAATCGAGGCAGAGCACTGTTCGCAGTGCGAGCGGCTGCTGGCCATCTCGCTGGCGACGCGCAGCTTCAGGGCCACGAGATCCGTTGAATACTTCATGGGGGCGTGGTGGTCAGAGCGAGGCCGTGATCTGTGGTGCTGATCGCGGCCATCAGCTCACATGTACAGGTGCTTCGTGTCACCGTTTTGAGCGCCCCCACTGCCAGTCCAGTACATGACGCGCTTGCTTGCCGAGTTCCAGAAACCCTGAACACCAAAAACTTGCCATCTCCTGGGAGCGCGCTTTTCACTTCCGCCGGCTTCCGCCAGCTTCTGCCGAAGACGAGACGGCAACTCCTTCGGTCTTCGAGGGCTTGGCCCTTTCGGGAACGGTCGGAGGATCGCGCCGCATCGGCGACGCATCGGCGATGCGTCGACGACGTGGAGATGCGGCGCGATCCTCCGATCAGCTGTGCTCAGGCCCCGCTGGGGGGCGGCGGGCGCGCAGGGGGCGGACGAACGCACCAGGGAGAGAGACCAGCGTACCATCGAGCCATGGCCACGAGGCCCTTCGCTGACGGCCCGACGGCCGCGTTGGGGAGACCCCTGCCGGATAACACTCCATCCCCTTCCTCCTTCTCCCCTTCCCTACTTCCTCGACCTCCTCTTCCTCCTCCCTCTCCACCACCTCCCCCTCCTTTCCTTTTCCTTATGAATAACTTCTCCCTGTCGCACACTGTGGCCTGTCGGAAGGGCGGGGCTGGGCGTTTCGCCTGAGACTCCCTGACTATTTAAACTGGCAATCGTCTCGCAAGTGGAACGCGGGTCGCTTCCAACATGTGGCTGTCGCCTGAGCGCCGCGCACATTCGTTTCAAACACCTGCAAACAAAATCACAGATTGAGGGCGGGTGGTGTTCAAAATGTGGCTCTCGCCTGAGCGCCGTGCACATTCGCTTTAACAGCTGCAAGAGCTTCACCATTTGGGGGCGGGTTGCAATTCAACATGTGGCTGTCTTAGCGCCGCGCACATTTGTTTCGTTTAAACACTTGCAAGAGTTTCGCGGACTCCCATGGAGCGTTTTGGAACGATTCAGGACTACCAGGGCGCAACTTTTTTTGAGCTCAACGCCCGCGCAGCCTCACACAGTCAGCAGCGACGGCTGGGAAATCGCTGCTGCATCCACCAAGCCACTAGGGCAAGGAGGTACAGCCACATAGGTGGCAGAGAGAATGATTAGTCAGAACCCGACTCAGCATCCAGGTCTCTCCTTCCCTCACTGCCGCCTCGAGCGGCATCAAGAAGGCGGAGGGACTTAGAGACGACGCTGAGCTCTCGGGCCTGACGGACCTCCTCCTCCGAGGGGGGGGGAGGCTCGACCGAGGAAGCAGGGACCACCTCCTCCTCCACAGAATGGCTCACAGCTGGGGCCCCCTCGGCCCTGCTGCTCGAGGAGGGCTCCTCGGCCTGAGAACCAAACAGTGCACAAATCTGGTGAGTGTTCACCGTCACGTCCCGCTTCCTGGGGTTCGGATGAATTCCTCGGCAGAGGTCTCTCCAAGAATACTCAGCATGCCTGGAGGGCCGATCATTACAAAACTT